AGCCAAAAAAGTCCCCCAATGAGCAGCTCTGTGGTCTGAAAGGGCAGGGAAACAGCCCAATGAGCATCACTGCAGAGGAGCCAATCAGCTAGAAGTTGCTGGGGCGCTGTGATCCAATCATCAGCTGGCAGTCTGAAAGTTTGCTGGGGCCCCTTGGGCTGTGGCTCTCAACATATACCAGCTTCTCTTTTTTTTAAAAATTTTATTTATTTATTTTTATGTGGTGCTGAGGATCGAACCCAGTACCTCATATTTGCAAGGCAAGCACTCTGCCACTGAGCCATAATCCCAGCCCTCTTTTCTTTTTTTTAAATATTATTTTTAGTTGTAGTTGGACACAATACTTTTATTTTATTTGTTTATTTTTTTTAATGTGGTGCTGAGGATCGAACCTGGGGCCTTGCATGTGCTAGGCAAGCGCTCTACCACTGAGCCACAATCAGTCCTTCTTTTTCTTTTTTCTAGTGTTAGATATTGAATCTAGGGCTTCATAAGTGCTAGATAAGACCTCTACTAGTGAGGTATACCCCCAGCCCAGAGTTATTCTGATGCCAATGATCCTTTTTTTTTTTTTCTTAATTTTTTTTGTGGCTCTGGGGATTGAGCCCAGATCCTTGCTCACACTAGGTAAGCACTCTACTACTGAATTACATGCCCCAGCACTTTTTACTGTGTTGGAAACGGTTTTGCCAGTCAATCCCCAGTACCACAACCAAAAAAAAAAAAAAAGGACAGGACAAGAACAAAGAAATTCTTAGGAAAGCAGGCCCTGTGGTGCATGCCTATAATTCCAGTGACTCAGAAGGTCCAGGCAGGAGAACTGCAAGTTCGAGGCCATTCTGGGCAATTTAGCAAGACTGTCTCAACGTAAAAACTAGAGGGGGCTGGGGAGATAGCTCAGTGGTAAAGCACCTGCCTAGCATGCATGAGGCCCTGAGTTCAACCCCTATCACCACATAAAAAATAAACAACAATAAAAAATGATATTAAAAAAATAAAAATAAAAAATAGAAGAGGCTGGGGATGTAGCTTAGTGTTAGAGTGCCCCTGGCTCAGTCCCCAGTAGCACAAAATAAATACCTAGGTAAATAGGTATAAAATAATAAATAGATACAAAAAAATAAAAATCTTGGGATGAGGTGTTCTAAGGAAGTCCAGTGAAAGACAAGCACTCTTTCTCTAAGAAAGTCTTAGAGAAGTAGCTGAGTGATAAGAGTGCCTGCTTAACATGCATGAAGTTTAATCTTCAGCATGCATGCATGCACACACACACAGTGTGTGTGTGTGTGTGTAAAAGTCAGAAAGCCTTGTTTTAATATAAATATAAATCTAATCGTTTAGCATGCGTAATGAGGTTTTGTTTTTGTAGTGGTAGGGATAGCATCCAGGGCCTCATATATGCTAGGCAAGAGTTGTTCAAATTAAGCTACAGCCTCAGCCCGGGTTTTTGTTTTTAGAAAGAATATTCTTGGTGGGGCTGGGGCTGTAGCCCAGTGGTAAAGCATTTGCCTCACATGTGTGAGGCACTAGGTTCGATCCTCGCACAGCAAAATAAATAAATAAATAAATAAATATACTATGTGTTCATCTACAACTCAATAAATATTAAAAAAATAATATTCTTAGTAAGCAATAAGTCTGTGAAGTCTACTTACAGTCTAGATACAATTTTTTTGGAAAGGCGGGGGTACCAGGGATTGAACTCTGGGGCACTTAAGCACTGAGCTACATCCCCAGCCCTAATTTTTATTTTATTTAGAGACAAGGGTCTCACTGACTTGCTTAGCGCCTTGCTAACTTTCTGAGGCTGGCTTTAAACTCACAGTTCTCCTGCCTCAGCCTCCCAAGCTGCTAGGTACATTTGATGCTCTAATTATCATATTGCTTTTGTTTACTTTTTAGTTGGGAAATATGAGAATGTCTTCTCCTTAATTAAAAAATGCAAAATCGTGGAATATTAAATTACCACAAGTTTATGCTATTTTTCTTTAAAATTAACCCTTTCCTAATGTTAACTTAATAAAATATTATGCTAATAGGTAAAGATATGTAAAAATGCATTTTTTTATGTGCTGGGAATTGAACCCAGGGGTTTGTACATGCTAAGTGCACACTTCATTACTGAGGTACACCCAGAGCCCCATATCATTGTTAATACACCAAAAGGAAAAGAAAATGTATTTGTTGTTGTTGTTTTGATACTATGGATTGAACTTAGGGGTACTTTACCACTGAGGTATAACCCCAGTATTTATTTTAAGACAGGGTCCTGCTAAATTGCTCAGGCTGGCCTCAACCTTGCCATCCTCCTGCCTCAGCCTCTTGAGTAGCTGGCATAACAGGCACATACCACCACTACCAGCTAAAATGTATTTGCAAAAAGATTGTTTCATATCAGTTAAAATGAGATTGTTATTTTCTGGAAGGATTATATAATGAATTCTTAGAAGTGGAACTGCAGAGTTAATGTTTATGTGCATTTTAAAAATTACTAAACCTGCTGGGCCTGGTGGCATGTGTCTATAATCCCAGCAACTCAGGTGCCTGAGACAGGAGGATCACAAATTCAAGGCAAGCATCAGTAATTTAGAGAGGCCTAAGAAACTCAGTGAGACCCTGTCTCAAAAATGATTGGGGGGCTGTGGATGGATGTAGCTCAGCTGGTAGAGTGCTTATCTCAAGGCGCTGGGTTCAATCCCCAGCACCTCAAAAAAAAAGGATGGGGATGTAGCTCAGTGGTAAAGCACCTCTGAGTTCAATCCCCAGTACCTCCCCAAATAAAAATTACCAAACCTACTAGGGCATATAGCTCAGTGACGGAATCCCTGCTTAGTATGCAAGAGGCCCTGGGTTCAATTCTCAGCATTGAAAAAAACAATTACTAACTCCCCCCACACACACACCCCGCCAAAAGAAATTATCAGATTTCTCATTGGCCCCTTGTGATTTGAGTATTCCAAGTTTCTTTAGAATTCCAAGATTAGGATTGGGGACTGAATGAGAGTGGTAGGTGTAAAGTATTTTAAAAGAGTTTACACACCTCAAAATAATGTAGTTTAAATATACTGGCACAAATACATATAGCATTGCTTGATTTACATTATGGCAATAATTCATTGTACCATGATCTATGTAGAATATACAGTTGACTCCTCTTAGGACCACTAGGGGGCTCTACTATAAGGGTTTTATCATTTATGTCTACCCATTTGTGGACCTGTTTTGAGATGATGCTTTAAAATTCTGAGGTTTTTAAAACTTAAATAGATCATCAAATCCAACTTCCTTATTTCACAGATGAGGAAACCAACCAAAACTGGCCAAGAGAGATGGTATGGGAGGGAACTGGAATAAAATATTCCTTTTTTTTTTTTTTTAGGAACTGAACTCAGAGGAGCTCAAACACCAAGTCACATTCCCAGCCTTTTTACTTTTCATTCTGACGCAGATGCAGAGGCTCACTAGGTTGCTTAGAGCCTTGTTAAGTTGCTGAGGTTGGCTTCAAACTTGCTATCCTCCTGTCTCAGCCTTGCGAGCCACTGGGATTTCAGGTGTGCACCACCTCACCTGGAGTTTTAGTTACTTTTGCAAGATCAAGTATATGTGATATTTTTATAAGATACTTTACTGATTGGCTAGGTATAGGAAGTGCACAAAGTAGTCACTTCTAAAATAACCTTTATTACTCCAAAATGTATTATTCAACACCCAAACCATGTTACTTTTTAAAATTTTCTAGTAGAATGGACACAATCCCTTTACTTATTTTTCACGTGGTGCTGAGAATCCAACCCCCCAGTGCCTACCACTGAGCCACAACGCCCCCACTCTCATGTTACTTTCTGTAAACCCAAGCAACCACTTTCAAACTTATTTTCCATTGAGAATATTCTACTCTTTATTTTCTTTTTAACATTTTCTAGCGCATGCTAAGCAAGCGCTCTACCACTGAGCCACAACCCTGGCCTTATCTACTTTTTATTTTTGGTTGTTGGACCTTTATTTTATTCATTTATTTATATGTGGTGCTGATAATTGAACCCAGTGCCTCACAAATGAGAGGCAAGCGCTCTACCACTGAGCCACAAGCCCAGAGTACTTTATTCTTTATTCACTTATTCATTCAATATTTGTTGAGTGCCTGCTGGCGCCAAACACCTTTGTAGGGCCTCGGCTTCAGAAGTAAATCTTCTCCCTCCCGCAACCCATCCCCCAAGGAGCTTCTATTTCTCCAATTTTCTCTTCTGTACAAATGTTCACGAGTTAATTCAGCGGTTCTCAGTGTGGTCCTTGAATGAGCGGCAGCTGGGAGCTTGTTAAATGTAAATTCTTAGGCCCACCCCACACTCTAGGGATGAGACCTTGCAATTCGCTTTTTGACGAGCTCTTTAGGGATTCTGATGCACACTCAAGTTTAAAAACCAAGCTTTTAGTTCCACAGCTCGGTATTAATATCCAAATTGGTCAAAGATCAACATCTGGCTCCTGAACCTATCTCGGGCCTCTCCGTGGAATACCTGTCTCATACACCGAAGGGAACCAAAAATAACCATTCTTAATAATTAGGAGTCCTTGAGATGATCGAATAATAATGGCATTACAATGGTTCCAGAACAAAAGCGACCGCAGTGGATTTTCTGGAGCTATACCAACCGACAATGGGCCGGACCGAGTTCTGGAACAGTGTTTTCCTACGCTAGATAGCGAGGCACGTCCAGCCTGTGGTCGTGGGTCTGAGTCAGGGCGGCGCGCAGGTCGGGCTGGAGCTCGCGGTCAGAAGTCAGGGGCTGGAGCCCGGATCTTATCACAAGGGTAGAAAGAGGGGCGGAGGCGCTGGAGAGCTCCCGGGAGGCCGCGCGGGGCTGGCCAGCCAGCTAGCCGCACCCTCCCGGCCCCAGGCGCCGGCAGGGCGGAGCCACGCGGCCGGAGCTCCGGCTCAGACGCGAGGCGCAGCGCGGGCTCGCGGCGGAGGCGTATGGGGCTACAACGGGAGCGGCTGCGCCGCCCGGCCGGGTCAACGTCGTGCGCATGCGCGGACCCGGCGCCATTTTGGTGGCCGGGCGCGGAGGTGATTCCACACTGAGGGGAGCGCGGCGGCAGGGGCGGCAGTGGCAGCGTTCGTGTGCTCGGGTCTGAATCACCGAGGGAGGAGGCGGTGGAGGAAGAGGTGGCAGCGGTGGCGGTGGTCGTAGCTGTGGCGGAGGAGGCGGGTACGAATCAGCTGCGGGCGGAGACATGGCCAACATCGCGGTGCAGCGAATCAAGCGGGAGTTCAAGGAGGTGCTGAAGAGCGAGGAGGTCAGAAATGAACTCCCGGACATCCCCCATCTCAGCCCAGGGCGGGAGGGCCCTCCCAGCGGCGACCCAGACATCCCCGGTATCCCCCGGGCGGCTCCCTGCGGCCGCCCTTCTGCCTGTGGGGAAGCAGCAGTCTCCCCCTCCTCCTCCAGCTGCCCTCCCTCCCCGGGCCCTGGGATAGACGGTCTCGCGGGCGGGTGTCCGGGAGGAGCACGGTTTGGGGGGCAGGCGGGGAGGGGAGCACTCCTCGGCGGGATGTGAGCTCTAGAGAGAGACCCGAGGCGGTGGCAACAGCTGGAAGTGTGGCTGTGGGGTGGGGAGGGAGCAGGCCAAGCCTGAGAAAACCCGGGAAGTGGGTTGGGGGAAGGGGAGAGGTGGTAACTGGATCCGGGGAGCAGCGCAGCCCTGAGGCCCACACTTTTAAGGGTATTCTGGGTTATCGCCTCTCAGCCCTTTACTGTCCTTTCCTTAGGGAAGAAGCGACGAGAGTCCTTAAGTATTGATGAAAGAAGGACATTCAGAGTTACTCCCTCATAGCTGGGTGTTGGGAAATAAGGGGAGGCATAATGGAATAGTATCTTTTGGGGAGGGGGGAACAAGGGAATTTTCACTGGAGATATAGGAAATTAATTCCAAATTAGATCATTATCTCTTTTCCACTTACCCCTATTGCTAGGCCTCTTTTTTGCTATCTAAAGCTTTTCGACTGGTTTGGTGTATTAAATATTTTTAGGTAGGAAAAGATAATGGGGTGTATGAGCAGCATATTTCAAAATATTGTTTACAAGTCATAGGTCAGAATCTCTCCTAAGACAATGCCTGTGTGACTCTTCTGCTGTGAAACTTCATTATGATGCCCCTCATAGTTAGCTGATAGTTACTTTTCAAAAAATAGGCAAATTAAAAACAAGGGATTTTACCAGATAAATACATGGTTTTATTTCATTAAGTAAGTTTATTTTGGCATAAAAGATCATAGCACAACATAATATATATATTTTTTTAAAATTGTCTTCTCCACTTTTGAGTCCTGAAGCATTTTTACACATTATGCTGGCCATCTTTATTTATATAAAGTATTTAAAATGGACTAGTAATATGAATCAAAACTATGCAATTATTAGTATAGTTTTTCATACCAAAATTAGAACGCCAGGTGTTTTTCTGATTGTTATTGAATTTAACAACAACAAAAAATCCTGCAAGTGATTTTTTTTTTTAAGATTCACATTTTTTTTTCAAGATTATTGCTATTTGTTTTTTCTCTTATGGCATGTATTTTGATAATGTCAGCAATGATTTGTGAAATTCAACATTCTAAGTATGTGGTGAGTAATAGTAAGTCCGATCTACAGTGATCATGTACTTTTCCAAGTATACACATAAGAAAATGATTAAAAATAAAATGACATTTAAGTAGACCTATTGAATATAGTAGTATATGCAGTGTGATTAGTTTTACAGAGCATGTGTATGAACTTTGACCTCTGTATTTGCTCATTTGCCAAAACTGAATGGAAGGATGACTTTGTATTTTTGAGGTACAATGCAGAAATAGTCATAAATTATTATACTAATAAACATTGTAGCAGAGATTTTACTTTTTTAATAAGAAAATGTATTCTTATAGTTTACATATTTCTAATGAAAGATTGCAGCTAATATTGTCAACAGCCTCAAATATTCTTCTGTAGTAAGGTTGCACAGTTCTGAAACTTACAGATTTATAATGTTTTTTTAGAAATGATAAATTACTGTACTGGTAATCCCTGTGGTCTCTGCTTTATGTGAGGTGACTTTTCACCAGGATATCTTAGTACTTGAGTTGAAGATTACCAGAAATTCTTATATTGTGATGGTAGTATATATTATTATTACACTAGTACTATTCTTTAAGAATCACAGTGTATCAGAAAAATGAAAGAAAAACAAATAGACTTTTTTTTTTTTTTTAAAGAACACTACTTATGTAAATCTGGAAGAAAACTTCTTCCAGGAAGTTGCAAAGAACATTTAGGAAAGGATCAGATAATTTAATCTTGGAATAAATATAACCAATAAATAGCCTTATTTTATTTTTTCATGGATATTTTAGTGGGCCCAGTTTTATAAGTAGATTATATTGAATAGTCTCAACTCATTGAAGTCCATATATATTTTCTTTGTATAAAGGTAATATTTTGAGTGGCTGATCAAATAAATATTTAATCATATCACCTGATATAACTCTCTAGTTTACTAAAGTTTAATTCATGTGCGTGTGTTTACTAAGAGTATTGGTTGATTTGAGATTTTTATTTTAATTTTTTTGGCCTTTTTGTGCCTTTGTCAATTAGGTGATGTTTGATGAACCTAAGAGGTTATAAGTGCCGGGCATGATGGCACATGCCTGTAATCCCAGCGGTTCATGATATTTAGGCAGGAGGATTCCAAGTTCAAAGCCAGCCTCAGCAAGTTAGTGAGGCCCTAATCAACTTAGCAAGACCCCATCTCAAAAAAAAAAAAAAAGAATAAATAAAGGCTGGGAATGTGGCGCAGTGGTTAAGTGCCTCTGGTTTCAATTCCTAGTCCAAAAAAATAAATTAATTAAATAAAATGTAGCCTCCAGGATTGATCAGATTATGTTATATGTATATATAAATGTAGCATAATGAATCCCACTACTATGTATAATTATAATGTGAAAAGCAAGGTGCAGAAAAGAATGGAAGAAGTTACCATTTATGTCAAAAGGGGGAAAATGTATATTTTCCATTAAAAGTCAAAAGATTCATAAGAAACTGATAAAATTGGTAGCTTCTGTTTAAGGGAATAGGGTATTTGTTTACAGGGCATAGACCTCTTTTGAATTTTGAGTCATGTGAATGTTATTTACTCAAAATAAATGAAAGTACCATCTAGCTCTCTTTTCTGTAAGATAGTATTTAGAAATTCATCTTTCATCTGTCAGATTTTTATTTTTAAATATGACTCTTGAGGGACTGGGGTTGTGGCTCAGCGGTAGAGCACACGCCTAGTGCATGTGAGGCGCTGGATTGGATCCTCAGCACTACATATGAATAAATAAAAAATAAAGGTATTGTGCCCACCTACAACTAAAAAAAAAATGACTCTGAATTTTAAGTAATGGTCCAAAGTTGATGCAGGGGAAAATTGATTTAAAGTATTTTACAGTTTTATGAGTTGTTATATAGGTGAATTCTTTTTTTTTTTTTTTTTTTAAATAATACCAGGGATTGAACGCATGGGTGCTTAAATCACCAAGCCACATCCTCAATCCTTTTTTATATTCTATTAGAGACAGGGTCTTGATGAGTTGCTGAGGCTGAGTTGAACTTATGATCCTCCTGCCTCAGCCTCCTGAGTTGCAGGGATTCTAGGTGTGCAGTACTATGCCTAGTGCCAATTTTTTTTCCCCCATCATGGGTCTGGGGATTGAACCCAGGCTTAGTATATGCTAGGCATCTCTACCACTATGTATCTATGTATGTATTTTAATATATAATACTAAGTATATAATATTTAAATTATATACGTATATATTTTATATGTTACGTGTGTATATGTATACACACACATATTTTGGTACTGGGGATTGAACCTACAAGTGCTTTACCACAGAACCACATCCCCAGCCCTTCTTATTTTTTATTTTGAGACAGTATTTCACTATGTTGCTTATGGCTGTTCTTAATTGCCAAAGCTGACCTTGAACTTGCAGTATTCCTGCCTCAGCTCCCGGGTCACTGGGATTTCTGGTGTATTCCACCGTGCTTGGTTTGGTTTTTATTTTTTTGGTTTGGGGATTGAACTTCACTTCACCACTGAGCTGCATCTCTAGTCCTTTTTAGTTTTTATTTTGAGATAGGACCTCACTAAGTTGCTTGGACTGGCCTTGAATTAACAATTTTCCTGCCTCAGCCTCCCTAGTAGTTGGGATTACAGACATACGCCACCACACCCAGCTATTGCTAATTGCTAAGTAGAGGTCTTTGAGTTAGGTTTCTTGTTTCTTAGATAGATGGTTGAGAATCAGATAATTTAAATTATTTGCACACATACAGCTTTTAAATTTGGATCTAGGTCTGTTTGTGTTTATATTGTTCCACACTGTCAGGACTTGCAAGGATAGGCATACTTTTAATTATTTAAAAATAATTTAGCCTGGTTTGAATTACTGGTTAAATGATTGAAATATAACCTAATTTAATGTCAGTTTAAATTTTTGAAATAAATTGTAACTGTAATTTAAAGGTTAACTTACATTTCATAGTACAGAATATTTGATCATTTGAGACTCATTGAAGTAACATGCACTTAGATAAGTGTACATACATTTTTTTTATAATGCAATATGATACCTGTAGTTTTTTCATATTGTAGATGAACTTTGCTAACATTTTGTAGTTTTCTCATAGGGAATGTTTAAACAAATTGTTTTCCTAAAAATTTCTTGTGAGTTTATTTTTTCCTTCAACATTTAAGTAGTTTCTTAAAAATCATTTTAAATTTAGATTATATAGAAGCAGTTGCAAGTCTACAAGAAAGTCTTTTGGTTTCTTAACTTTGGCACTATTGACATTTTAGGAAGATTATTATTATTGGTGAATTGCTTACCCCCATACATTAACAGCTTATAGAATGTATAGCATCATCTCTGACTTTTTTTTTTTTTTTGGTACTGTGGTTTGAACTCAAGGGTGCTTACCTCTGAGCCACCTTCCTAGCCCTTTTCATTTTGAGACAGGGTCTTGCTCAGTTGCTGAGGCTGGCTTTGAACTTAGGATCTTCCTGCCTCATCAGCATCTTGAGCTTCTGGAATTACAGGCATGCAACACCACACAAGGCTAGTTTAGAAGAACATGTAAGACAGTTAATGTTTTAAAATATGCATTATATTGTCTATCTAAAGGATGGACAAGGTATAAAAAAAATCTGGCTTTGAATATTTTGTTTTTGTTTTCAGAAGTTTAAGCTTACCATATAGTTGTAGCTGGACA